TGCTCCTCTGATGCTGCTTGGCCTGCTGTGTTCATCCAGCCCTGCACCTTGTTATCCCAGATTCTCCAGTATCTGCAGTTCCTACAATCTCCGCTTGAAAGCGCTTCAGATTTCTGGGGCTAAGTAGGCAGGGAAGCGCCGGGTTCTATGTATAAAACAAAACACTGAAGATTTTGCTAAATTGCGGGATTTGTCCTTCTCCCACTAGGTGAAAGTGTGGTTTCAGAACAGGCGGATGAAGTGGAGGCACTCGAAGGAAGCGCAGGCCCAGAGAGAGAAGGAGAAGGAGCAGCTGGAGAAACCAGCGCCTCTGGAGGGAGAGCAGCGAGTGAGGGAGAGCCTGAGTGACAATGAGAAAAGTGACTCCGAATTGACAGACGTTAATGAGAAAGACATTGAGGTGAACGAGTGTCCTGATCACAAGGCGACTGTCATCAGGTCGGGGCTTGCCTCCCTAAGTACTGTCGAGTTAAAGCAAAGCGGCTCCTCGCCACCAAGTGCCCCACCATCTCCGTTGCAAATTGTGCTATAAATGTGAAATAATTTTACCCCGCCCCTACTAACAGGATTGCCACGAGGTAAAGGACATTTTCAGAACAAGAGTAAGTTATATTGTTGCGAAAGGAAGCTGGGAAATAGATCGTGCTCACCACTTCCTACCTGTAAATTGCAAATATGTAAATACAATGTTCGGCGCAAGGCATCGTACAGACTGGTTTAAAAATCTTTTAGAAGTGAATGATGTTGTATCATAGGGTTTAATCTGTCCACGTTGATTTCCATGTGCTTTATGTATACCCTAAGCTGGAGCATTAGAGGCAGTGGATTTATACATTTTACCAAAGACAAAAATAATATCTTCAACATCTGTCTGCGCTCACGTGTATTAACACTCAGAATAACAACCTACTGCTCTTACCAAGTCTATACGCTTAAATGACGGTCAATATTTCACTTTCATGCCGGTTGATTCAAAGGCTTGCACTGATCGCGAACATATGGAATAAAGTGGGTATACTGGTTTAAGAAGCCTTCGTTGTACTTACGATTTCTTTGCCATCTCCTCAGCGAATGTGCCCTCAGTAATACTGTAGGAGGGATCAAAGTATTTGGGGAAATGAATTTGGGGAAATGTTTTAAATATTTTCGAATATATTTACCCATTTGGTGAATCATTCCTATTCTTTAATCACGCTTGCTTTGTTAGAGAAAATAATTTAGTTTCAAGCAAGCAAACTATTCATTGATATTGCATTGTTCAAAATTAATTATTTTAATAGTTTATATTTAACTTTTATTTTTGCATTATAATAAATTACTTGAGTTTTAACTATAAACAGATTGTGCACACAAAGCAGGAACGGTGATGCAGTTTGCTTTGGGGATTTCTACATGATCAATATGACCCTGTATTCGTTAAAAGAAATCTGGTTTAATAAGGCCCATGCTGAGTTGGCGCTGTTTACATGCCGTTTATCTTTACCAGTGTACATGGCATATTAAAGCGACAAATACTTTTTTTTCTGATAATGAATTCACTCTTGTAATGAGCCAGGCGTTAATACGGTCTAAAATTTTTCTTTTTCTCCGTTTTAACAAAGAGTTGCTTGAAAACGCAGCTCTAAATACGTTTTTATCTTTAACACCGTCTCTTACCAGGCTTATGACGAGACTGTGTTTATTTAACTGCGCGAGTGACTGTACCCAGCTCAGTTCAATCCATATCAATTGAGTGCTGATCTCTCCCACCCCCAACAAAAAAAATCCTTCACTTCAATACCCGTTGCTGCTCGCTGTTAGATTACAAGGCAAACCAATACATCTTGGTGTTACGTGGTGTGTTGGGAGGAGACTGAAAATCGCAGGAAAGTTGTCAGTTTTAAAATATTGATTGAGAAGCTCACAAACCCAGGTGTTTCTCAGGAACCCATGTAGACAGTCCCAACGATGCTCCAGCTACATGTGAGATGTAATATTTACACTTTGATTCGGTCACCACCGACCATTTCAAAATAAAAACAGATCCCACAAGTAAACCAAGATGAATCCATGGAGTAGTGGTAGGGGCATTGATTAAAGAAAAAATCCAGTTTATCACTTCATTCGATTAGATCATCTTGGGACCCAATAATTTTGCAACAGCCCTCAGTCTAACAGTAATACACATTGGAAGGTCCACTCGCAGTAAATGTACGAGTAAAGTGAACTCTCACTTGGTTGACATTTTTGGACTGCTGCCAAATTAGGTCACTGACTCTGATCTGACGTATCGTTGACAGAAGGCAGCAAGGTTTGGAGCTGTTAAAGTGAGAGCAGGCTGAAGTTCGCTTTCTTCGCCTACTTGCGCTTGACTTTGAACATTTCCATAATTAAATGCGCAGAATGTTTTTTTTTTAAATTATGATACCCGGGTCCGATCTATGGTTTCTAAGAGACTGAATATAAAATCCTCCAAACCACTTGCAAACTCCCTCCTTTTGGCCTACATCATTGCTACGTTTTAAGCGAGATCTGTCAACATTAGAGAAATGCTAGGAGTGGGATTTCTGCCTTTTGCTAGCAAGACAGATCATAAACAAGTTGAAATGGATTCGTGTTAATTATAGCAGAGAGTTATAACTCTTTAAAGCAGGGCGAGTTAACCTTGTTGGTAGCCAGTGACAAGTATTAAATTCAATGGCGTAACCCAGAGAAGAAAGTGCAGATTGTAGGAAGTAGGACAGTGATCTTTCAAGCCGAGATCACCAAACAAATCCAATAGGGCCTGCAGCTATTAATTTTTCCGCTTGGTAGAAACACGACCATTGCAAAGCAAATGGAAAATTACATGTATTTATCAGGGCGCTGTTTTTTTTAATGAATGTGAAGCCAACTTTATTTTGAATAGCTACAATTTTGAGACTTTAACAGCTTTCCAGATATATAACTACTTTCAACACAGACAATTAAATCGCAATTTTACACGTGAACAGAAACGAGTGCTGAAGTGGATAACAGCCGCTTCTATTCTCCCGGTCATCGAATTTGTCATAGCAGACAGCAATATTGCCCGAGCAATTTGACCTATTTTCATTTACTTTTAGTTTCAAGCGTTCAAATTGGTTTGGATTTGATTGCTCGTTTCGTTGTGTTCAGCTCTAGAAGTATTTCCTGTTCATAAACGATAAAGGAATGCGTAAGAAAATTAAAAGATAACGATCCGACTAAATTGATGCTTATCAGCGCACGCGTTCTTACTTCCGCAGGCATTTATTCATTTTGAAAATATCCGTTCGGTTTGCACCTCTTCCTCAGTGCGGTGACAGTAAACATTAATTACCGGGTTTTCCCAATTTCCTTGCGTCGAAATTCGGACAACAGACACATAGCTCACACGGAATACCTTTTCGCTGTGGAAAATGCAATAGACGTTTACAAAGTTACATAATCCATCCCCTTCACCTAACCAGTACTTCCTACACAATCACCCACCTTTCCAAACAAAAAAGTACACGTCCAGTCAAAACGTTCGATGACAGTCAGATGTTAAGGCTACTGTAGTTAGGTTTTTTCTGAAGAAGGGTCTAGGCCCGAAACGTCAGCCTTCCCGCTCCTCTGACGCTGCTTGGCCTGCCGTGTTCATCCAGCTCTACACCTTGTTGTCTCTATAGTTTGGTTGTCATCTTTCATGACTCGTATCTCTGCAGGCATGTATTCTGTGCGGAACCTTAGGATTAAATATCCGCTCTAAAACCTTCCACCTGGAATAAAAATCTGAACAAGGACCAGTCAACTCAGTAATAGAACTTTTTTTCCATAGTAGACTGTCCCTGTTAAATCCTCTGGACTGGCTGGCGTCCACCAAGACAGATTGTTACATCTATAATGTCAACTTTTGCTTCTCTCAGTAAATAAACGACCTTATTATTGCAGTTCAACGCTCATCAGAACTAATGACCGTTTACACTAAATCTTTATTCACTTTATAAAATAAACACTAATTTATTAAAATTAAATAAACCCGCAGCTGATGTTTTGGCAAGCCAAATCTGTTATCAGATTGTTACTTACTAACTGAAGTGTGATTGGTCGTGAAGAAAATTAAAGACTCAGTTGAAATCACCTTCAGTATCTCGCCTCTAAAAGCGACTGGCATTAAATATATACAGCCGCAAACTCTAAATGAATAGAAAGACTTGAAGGGAATGTGCTCACTTGACAAATTCCAGAAAACGAGCGCAGTAGAATATATAGATGAATGAACTGCGTCCCAACAATGTCACATTTAAATATATTTCCCAGTTAACAGAATGACAACAACTTGGCTGCATTTGTCAAAAGTTTACTGACAAAATCACAACCTGTATGAAATTCTGCTAAGTCTTGTGATTTGTCGTTTTCACTTTTTTGAGATTGTTCTTTTTCGGGCTTGTTTGGAATTACTTTCGGACATTGCAGAGAGATGAAAATACAGACTATCACTCCAGTCCCCACCAGGCATCACACGTTTGACTGAAATGACACACATTACACGTCTGGAGATCTGAAATCTAATAACAACTTAAGAAACGTTGTTTTAACAGAAACATAGTAAAAATCATCTCCATTAGGGGCACTGTGGATTTTTACTGGCTTACTGATATACATTCTATATCTTCCAGGCTATTGCGGTTGGAGAAGCGGGGACAACTTTAAACTGCGACAATACTGATATCAATAATTTATATAGAGGTGAAAAATAAACTTGGCCCTGCAGCTCTTAGCTTTATCTTATCTTGTGCCCAACTGTAACAGAAACTTACTTAGCATAGCACCAATTGTGTCCTTTGTGTTTAAACGTACACAGGAATAACAGATAAGTTATATGCCGTGGGAAAAATAAATCTGAGCAATCGATCACTTAAACATTTTAATTCAAAGTATTGGATGTTATCATTATTTAACAGACAGTAAGTGTATTTAGGTAATTGGGGCTTTTTGACCTTTTGCTGTTACTCCCATAGATCACCATACACTAGGGTACTCTAGGATGATGCAAATGTATTCGGATCCAGCCATAAACATGCAATTAACCTCCCTCGGTATTGCGCTATAAACAAATTGTCATTGCAAGGCCCCAGTCCCTGGTTGGGATGGAGGAAGGGTCTTGTTTGCTTGATGTATTGTCCGCCCTCACCATGGACACAAACAAACTGGAGCTCTCGGAGAAAGTAGACTCTTCCCCAAACAGGCGCGAACACTGGGATGTAAAAGAGCTGGGCCATTCACAAGCTGGTGGCTGGCAATCACCCTAATGAGCTCCATTAAACTGATTATTGATCTCTGGGCCTTTCCGTGAGGTCCAGTTAAAGGGGACAGGGCTTGGGGGGAGGTGGTTGACAGTGAGACCTACCAGCTGGCAAACTCCGAATGCACATCATTGACTCGGTTCGACTAATTAGTGTTTTATGGGTCAGATGGCGGGATTAGAGCAAGATTTTAGCTTTTCTTCTTTTAAAGGAAGTAGAAACAGCTGCGAAAAAAAAAACCGATTTCATTGTTATGGACGCACGTTACCGACCCCGATTTTAAGCGGATCCTTCATCGAATGTCAATCGTAAGACACCCACACTGATCAGTAATTTGGAATAAATTTGAATTTATAGCGATTTCATCAAGACCCTAGACATGATATTCGACCTTTGAAAAATATGGAAGCATGTGTATATAGAATGATACAGCTAATATTTACACATCCCCTTTGAAATGTCACAATTCGTTTCTACAACTCTTCATAGAGAAATATACAACATTAAAGTCGTCGTGTTGCACGGGAGTTGTGTGCAGACCATGTTATAGCAGGTGCTTCCTCCTGGAAACATGGAATTAAAACAAATTGTGAAGAGATAGATTTCTGATAAGCATCTCTGCCCACGTGTTGCAGCACTGAAGCCGGCTACTCACTGGCACATTGTAAATATTGAGGTACTTCAATAACTCGCGTCGATATCTACATATATCATGGGATTGACATATTTTGGCGTTGTTTTTCTTTCTGCTTTCCAAAATTCAA